CCGACTGGGGCCGCTGGGTAGAGAAAATGGGTAAATAGAAATAAGCTTTTAGAAGTGTTTCGTCGTATTGATTCACGAAACGGAAGGTTCCGTGACTTGCGAAATGTCGAGCTTTTAAGTAAGACCAAGCCGGTGTTTTGTACGGCCTTCTTGAGCAATGACCTGGCCTGCCACCTGTAAGACTCGGTGAATGGCTGGTCGCACTTTGACACTGACAATCAAGGACATTAAACCCAAACGCAATTTATGTATTTTTACCGCGTTCTGAGAAATCGTGAAAATTGCGACAGGGCTGCTTCAACACCTGAATAGCAGAGCGTTAGGTTGCACTGTACATGCTGCTTCAGTCTGAAACCCTTTACCACTACTTTTTCATATATTCAACAAGACCCACTTATCCGTTCGACAGTACCGAAAACTGCGCTCTCACTAATACGAACCACATCCACCACATTCATCACGTACACACTGACGCTGGGACGCTCGTCAGGGCGGTGAACTATCTCAGGATCGACAGCTATCAGCGAACTGATATCGATCGGTCCGTCACCCCATCGACCCTACGCAGCACTGAGGCCACTAGATGGGACTCAAAAACAAACACACCACATCACAGGCATATTAGTAAAAACAAACGACACACGGGCGCTCAACGGGTAATAAAAGGCTATCTTCCTAATGGTCTAACGTTCGCCATGGTGAGTTTGGTGACCACGCGTGTGCAGCTACAAAACATTCACGAGGTAGATAGCACAATGTGGAAGACAGGGAACAATGACGACTACGTAATACTTGTCTATAAAATGACCCGCCTGTGTCAGCGGGAAATGGGAAAAGGTTAACAAAAAGACTACTGAAACTTGACTGAAACTACCGCATTTCTACCAGACTGTTTATCTGAGCACGCTCGCATTACTCACAATGACAAACCAGATGCAAATGATGGCATTTGTCATGGACTGTGGGCAGAAATACTCGATAAAGACGGAACACATCTGTTATAGTTGACGGCTGTCTCAGATGAAATACACCAAAACGTCAAAATATCCAATGCAGATTCAAGATTGAACGACTGACATCAATACGACGATATGCAAGCGCATATTTGTACGAAACAACATGAATATGGTGACAGCGATATGTAAGCTGCAGTCTATCTCGATGGCTCGACACATGCCAGTTCCTAGAAGGTATGTCTGAAAATCAATCACCACTGCTCGACCTAAATAGACGCCTTTCTCATGAACACTTTACACTGCATCTCTTCATCAATGTCCTGAGTGACATGCTGTGAGGTCCACCTTTTCATGTTCACGCTACCGTTCGCTGTGTGTCTGTATTTTTGTCTCAGAAGCAGTGCTTTCAGCGTCTCGCAGCTGCCCGATCGGCGACAGGCGCGGTCTCCCGCCCTGCCCTCACTCGGCACCACACACTCTGTGTTTACCGCCCGTCCCGTCGCGGGCGTCTGTGGCCGTCAGGAGGGCGCCTTCTCCATCTCTGGCAGCTCTGTGCCGCGCGTCTCGGGCACAAACACCAGCACAAACACCAAACACACGGCCGAGACGGCCGCATACAGCCAGAACACGCCGTGCAGGCCGAGCGCCCGCTCCAGGTCCACGAACGTCTTCACGCTGACGAACGCGCAGCCGTAGCTGACGGAGGAGGCTAGCGCGCCGAGCCCGCGCTGCCGCAGCGGGAAGAGTTCCCCAATCAGCAACCACGAGATCGGGCCGACGCCCAGCGAGAACGCCACCTGACAGACGAGCACGCATGACATGGGCACCCAGTCTAGAGCGGCTCGCTCTGCGTCCGTCCACGGCTGCACCACGTACACGAACGTGCCGAACCCGGCCAGCGCTGCTGACATCAGCGCGCTGCTGATGGTCAGCAGCGGCAGGCGGCCCACTGTGTCGATCAGCACTCCCGAGGTCAGCCCGGCCAGGATCTGCAGCAGGCCGACGGCGGCGGCCGCGCCGTGCGCGTCCAGGTGGCTCAGCGTCCGAGACAGCAGTGGTACCGCGTAGAAGCTGAACACGCTGACACCGCAGAACTTCTGCAGCAGCATCAGGCCGCAGGTGACGAGCACGGGCCGCAGCAGCGCGCGGCGCGCCTCCACGCTGCCGGAGCCGCCCGCGGTGGGAGTCTCACGCGTCTCTTCACTGCGAAGGATGTTCGCCCGCAGTATGGAGAACTCCTCAGTGACATCAGCGCCGGGGCCGCGCAACCACTGGAGCGCCACGCGCGCTTGCCGCTCCTGGCCGCGTAGCAGCAGGTAGCTGGGCGTCTCTGGCACCAGACAGCAGGCGGGCAGCAGCAGCAGCGGCGCCACGGAGGCGGCCAGCGCCAGCTGCTGCCAGTCGAGCGCGCCGCCCAGCAGGAAGCTCAGCAGCAGCCCGACGTTAGAGGCCACCTTCGTGACGGCGCACAGGCCGCCGCGCACGGCCGGCTGCGCGATCTCGCTGACATAGACGGGCGTGACGAGTGCCACGAGCGCCGAGCACAGGCCACTGATGAAGGCGGCGGCGTACAGGGCCTCCAGCGATCCGGCGCCGGCGGCCAGCCACCAGGCGGCGGCGAACGGCACGCTGACAGCCGCCAGCAGCCGGCGCCGGCCGAGCCGCAGCGCCAGTCCGCTGGGCAGGCCGCCGACCAGCGCGCCCAGCAGCGACAGACTGGCCACCCAGGAGCCCTGCTGCGCGCTGATGGCCAGCCCCCCGTGCTCGGCCGGCGTGGCCAGCGAGGCGATCGCCGGCGAGCTGTAGCCCTTGCCGAGACCGACGGCCAGCGGGCCCAGCGAGACGGCCAGCGTGGCCAGGATCTGACGGACACAGCCGACCGGCCCGGTCAGTCGGCGACCGCGGTGGTCAGTACGCAGTGTACAGATCAATCATATAAAGGTAGAACTGTATCTTACCTATTATGTAAGTGGCAAGCACAACTAGCCACGACATGAACCAGGATGCTTTTAGGCGACAAGCGCTTAGCGACATATAAATGGTAATAATTCGTTGCAACATTCCAAATGGTAGTTTAGCTGTATCGTTGATCTCCAGAATGATTTACATAACTATTTGACTAATGGTAAAGCTAAATATTCGTTAGCATGCGACATATTTTGATTTACGGTCTATGCGTGAATTCCATGTGTGGACATACCCGTGTGATACGGATAAATATGTGCATGAATGTCATATGTGCACATACCTGTGTGCCATAGCTGGGCGACTTTTGGCTATAAATCAGCTCCAGGGTAGAGCTGGTCATCTCCCGAAGAGCCGCTCAGGCTACCTCCACGGAGTCATTGCCGGCCACCTGCAATAAACCGACAGCCTTGGTGACAGACCGCGTGTATGTGAAGATACACGATGGGGAGAGTAATGCTCCATTCGAACCTTAATGACAGGTGGAGAGTGCTGCAAAACGGAAAAGTGAAATATAGGTTGGTAATTCGGCATAGATAAACAGACCACTACCAGCGAGTCCTGATTCAGACACCAGATGGCGAACGAGTCACATCACAGCCGCTACTGAACCCGATCGGAACCTACCAGGGATCGGCCCTGGGCCCACTCATGTTCTCCGTCTATGCGCTCGATCTGCCTCTGCACAGGCATGACTCGCTTCCACACAGTGACTGTCTTGTCCAGTACGCCGATGACTGTCAGGTGGCAGTGTTTGGACGACCCAATGACAGTGCCGCCCTTGTCCGGTCGATGGAGCTCAACTTAGACTCGCTTTCGAAATGGTTCTGCAAAAATGGCATGAAAATTAACGCAGACAAAACTCAACTCATAGTATTTGGCTCACGACAAATTCTGAAACAACTACCCACCATCTCCGTTCATTTCATGGGATCCACCGTCACCGGCTGCCCCAGTTTGAAGAACCTGGGAGTGGTTTTCGACCAGCAAATGACGTTCGCTTCACATGTTGACGATGTCGTTCGGCGCTGTACCGGCATGCTCGTCGGATTAAGTCACTGTCGCCATAGCCTGCCGCGGCAGGCGCTTGTAACGATCGTGGAGGCGCTGGTTGTATCGGTGATCCGGTATTGTATTAGTGTCTATGGTTCCTGCGACCAGACACGGATGGCTCGCATCCAGAGGCTGATGAATTTTGGCGCGAGGGTTGTGTCGGGTCGAAGGAAGCATGAGCATATCAGTGACGTCATTAGGGACTTGGGGTGGTTGTCTGCGCACAACCTGTACCGGTATCACTCCCTTATGCTCCTGAAGCGGATCATGCTGACAGGCTATCCAGACACATTGTATGGGCTGACAGTGACGCGTGGTGAGCTGCACTCGCGGCAGACGAGGCAAGTACAGCAGCTTCACACCCCGGCCATTCGCACTGAGTCGGGACGGCGGCGTTTCATGTATTCTGTCGTGAAGGAATTCAATGAACTGCCCCATGATATGCGTGAGCTAGGCCTGCCCCGCTTCAAGTCGGAGCTGCGCCGGTACCTGCTGAGCGCTCAGGTCACATAGTGCATCGTGTAGTGAACGGAGCATGGTTTGTCACCGAATGTGGTATATGTGCTACTCCCTGTGTACTGCTGACGTACTACCCGGAATAGCCACGGTGTCCGTGGATGGGTAGCGAACTGTGAAATAAAATAAAATAAAATAAAATAAAATAAAATAAAATAAAATAAAATAAGAAATACAGTGAAGAAACGGACGTTTCAACAGGTACATCCATGCTTCCGACTGCCGTTCACAGGGCTGTTTACATAATGGTAATGCGCCGCGGACCGAGACGATTAGCGCACGTGCTGAACCGTCGGGGGAAGCCTAGTGCATACTGGTCACTGCCAACCGCATAGGCAACCAGGTGCCGACTACGTGAGATCATGCAGGTTTCCACGAATCATTTCTCATGAGCTGTCGATGCCGTCTGGTTACAAATCGGAGGACATTTCTTGCAGATCTTAGGAGGCTGCTGAAATATGAAAGCAGCCGATTACTGACGTATGTACGGTGACTGCTTAGGACAATGTTGGGATATTTCAGATGCTAAGATGCATTTCACAATCAAATTTGTCTCACCACAAAATCATCGGACGAACCACATAATGTCTGACAGTGTCATTTATTTACAGGATTTGTAGACACTGAGAACCAGGGCATATTTTAAGGATTTTTCACTGCGTCCCATAGGAGGCATAGGGCACATGCTTTGATCGGAAAGGGCACATTGCAAGCGAAATAGTATATAATGCAAGTGAGATAATGTACAGATACATTGTGTACTGTGCTGGTGGAGGGGCAGCAAGCGGGATATTGGGAGAGGGCTGTGATTGCTTTTGGCCAGTCTCGAAATTCGCCCAGTCGTAGTGCGTTCTTTATCCGCATTCAAAGGGCGGACCGGCGATTTAATGACATTTACATTGTTGTTAGTCACTCGTTTTCCTGAACGACGTTGGGCGTGTTTGACCCCCTTGACGCACCAAATTTTACCTATGCTTAGAGAATAAAAATGAATATGCACATGATTAAAATGTGATACATACGTCTCTTCATGCGTTTTTCACCCTTATCAATCGATTCAAAATAGAGGTTGACGTGTGAAACATTGCCAATTTGCATTGAAGATGCTATGTGTTTGAAATAATTAGATGACGTAAGGTCAAACAGTACCCACCTAAGTTGTGACAAGAAATCATCGGATTTTAAAGCTACATAAAAAATCCATCATAGATTAATGCTTTAGATGAACGGATGCTTTGGATGCTTCGGATTTCGCTTCCTTACTGCCTATCATGTAATATAACCCAAACTTTTCCCAATGGAAGTTCCTTTGTTTAATTATTATGCCCAGAAATCTGTCGATTTTGTGCCATTTCCGGGCGCTTTGGGGGGGGGGGGGAGCATGGCCCCGTGGCCCCCTCTATATCCTCCTATGGCCAGACGGCCATGACGGCCATGATCTGACCGTATGCCATCAAATGTGAAACTTCGCAATGATGCGATATTTTTTCGGAAAACGTGCCGGTATCTCAAAAACTATGATAGCTAGGAGGGCGCAATCGATAGGAGAAAAGCAATCGATATATCTTGAACAGCTCTTTCGTCAATATTTCGTCGGAATTGAGTTGAGATCAACGGTTGAGGCTCCATAGCCAAAAACGAGTAAAATTACAATTTTTGTCAATATAGGTTTCATGAAAAGCTTTTGAACTAAAAAAGGTAGAGAATTTTCGTTTGCACGATCGTTCTTCTCTCATTTTTACCTCGAAATGTCAAGGTCAGAACTTGACCTCACATTAAGGTCATTTCGTGACCAAGATAGATCATGTCGCATATCAGTCGATGCGTTTCGATGAGGTACCTCAAAACAATGATACAATCCATTGTGCATGCAAAAGCCCTGTAGGGCCGGATTTTGGGCCAGGCTCCGGGGGGCCTGCGGGCTCCAACTTGACATCTCTAAACAGGACTTTAGGGAAGGGCAGGACACAGAGTCTGAGCCCTAAGGACAGGGCAGGCACAGGCCATGAAGCTAAGATAAGACGGATACTTGAGGGCTGGGTAGGATGCAGGGTCCGAGGGCAAGGCAAGGCGCAGGTCTGAGGCTATCATTACACAAGGCCGGAGAGTAGTGCAAGACACAGGGCCTTAGAACACCTGATGATCAACACACCTGATGGCAGGGCAACATGCAGGATCTTAGAGCAGGGCAAGAAATAGTACCTAAAGGTAGAGCAAGACATAAGACACAGGTATGGCACAAGGCCCGAAACACCGCCCACGTCTTGTCATACTATACCTTCGGGCCCCGAAGGTATGACAAGACGTGGGCGGTGTTTCACGGACGCTGCTATCAAATTCCGCGAGCTGACGTCATACTTGTGGTAGTGTTTGAGCAATGGCCCTGTTGATGTCTCCATGGAAACCCAATTTGACACGTGTAATAGCAGCGTGCTGCTATCACCGGTGAAACAGGGCCAGGGTATGGGGCCTGAGGGCAGGGCAAGGCTCAGGGCATGAAGGCAGAACAAAGCACGGGTTCTGAGGACAGGTAAGGGCACGGGGCATGAGGACGGGAAACGGCACGGGACCTGAGGGCGGGAGACACCACAGGGCCTGATGACAGGGCAGGGCACAGCGCCTGAGGGCGGGCATGGGACACGAGACCTTAGGGCAATGCAGAATACAGGGCTTGAGGGCAGAGTAGGACACAGTGTCAGATGGCATTGGACGGCACAAGGCCTGATAACAGGGCAGAGCACAGCAACTTAGGGCGAGGCAGGGCACGGGCCTGAGGGCGATACAACGCATAAGGCTTAATGGCAGAATAGGGCACAGGGTCTAAGGGCAGGGCAATGCACATGAGGCCTGGAAGCAGAACATGACAGGACAGGGCCTGAGGCAGGGCAAGGCATTAGGCTCGAGGATGGGCGCGGGAGTCCCGCGCCCATGAGGACATGGGGCATTGGGGCATGAGGACATGGGAAGGCACAAGGCCTGATGGCAGGGCAGGGCACAGTACCTGAAGACAAGGCAGCGGCACGGGGTCTGATGGCAGGACGTGTCACAAGGCTTGAGGGCAGAGAAGGGCACGGGGCCTCAAACTAGGGTAGGGCAGGGCACGGAGCCTAAAACGGGAAGACCGCAAAAAAATTCAAGGCAGAATATATAAAGTATCGTGTTTGAGGGCAGGGCAGAGCGCGGCACAGGGCCTGAATGCAGAGCAGGGCACAGGGCCTGAAGAAAGGGCAGGGCAAGGTACAAGACCTAAGGACAGGGCACTGGGCAGGGCACATATCCTAGGGGTATAGTAGGGAAGAACATAATAAGGTGTATGACCAAGGGTAGGGCAGGGCACAAGGACTGGAGAGGGCATGTATGTGCTTAGGTACATAGTAAATCAGGGCACAAAGCAATCGGAAAGCCAACATCTTTTACAAAGTAAAAGACCGAGGCATGTTACTTATTTTTGCTCGCACTTTTCGGCTGAAACCGTGGCATTTCAGTGTGGGACGCAGTGGTCCAAATTTCGCGAGGGCTACGTCCCAAAGGCAGGGGGCTGCGTCCCAAAATGGGACGCAGTCAGTATGTTAAAATATGCCCTGCTGAGAACACGTAATTTAAGGCAATAGAAGACCTTAGTTAAACCACTAAGCTGCGTATGTACTTACAGCTGTCTGCGGTATAAGTGATTTGAATGTTATATGTAAGATCTGGGTAAAATAACATTTACTTTTTAATTCCAGTGGACGCGATATTGTGCTATACGATATAAGGTAACAGCTACGTACGTATATATGCTGAGGTTGAGGCATATGTGCATTGTGCACTGCGCGGTGATCA